GGCTTTTTAATTTTCATTTGATTACGTAATTGTAGGTATTCTCGTCACTTTCTTGTTAAAAATAAAAAATGTTTAATAAATGTGCATTACAAATTGGGCCTAAATTTTCACGTTGTTTTTTTTTTTGTTTTTTGTAAGTAAGATAAAATACCAGGAACGTAGAAAAAATGTTTAAAAAATTTTGTCTGTCAAAAAATTTTGACATTAATTTTTTGCTATTTACCATTTTTTTTTGTTATACTGATGATCTTCTTCAGGGTGCACCAGAACTCGCACCTCAGAGAATTAATAAATGTGCATTACAAATTGCGCCTAAATTTTCACGTTGTTTTTTTTTTGTTTTTTGTAAGTAACATAAGATACCAGGAACATGAAAAAAATGTTTAAAAAATTCTATCTGTAAGAAAATTTTGACAATTATTTTTTGAAATTTGACAATTTCTATGTCTATTTAATGATACCGATGATTTTGTATATGTTTTTTTACAATTATCTAGTAAAAGTACAAAACTTTTGCCAATAAAAGCCACAAATAACATTAAACAGAGTTACAGTTTAGGATACAGCTTCCTTGTGTCCGTTTCTGATTTAGCCTGTAGCAAAAAAACTTGGAAAATTATTTTTCCTACAGAAATAAATAGAGTCAAAGTGCAAAATTTAAACTCTCATAACTTTGAAATTTTGTATAGATAGAATTTTTTTTCCATGTTCGTGGTACCTTACTCTACATGACATTTGTCTTTGGAGCGGGAGTTCTGGCGCGTATGTGTATATCATGTAGAACGTGACTCCTTCAACTTTTAGAATCGCGATATCTCAGGAATGGTAATTCTTAGAAAAAAAGTATAAAGACCGTTTTTGTAGATAATTTTAAGATCTATAATTTTTGTCTGGGCTACTTTTTTGGTAAAACTTACCGTTTTCGAAAAAAATCTAAAAAACGTCAAATTTTGACCTTTGACGCCGAATAACTTTTTTGGCACACATGGAATTTGACACTTTATTCCTAATGATGTACCCAAAATCTCCACCAAAATTTAGCTTTGTCGGAATTTTAGTTATTTTAAATGTCTATTTTGACCGGACTATTAAAAAAAAAGAAATTTAGGTTTGATCGTTCGGTTGAAAAAGAGTTACGAAAACGTAGAGACTCAGGGGGACCAAGTACCAGCCCGCTCGATCCAGCAATGGCTCCTCTGAAAGCAAAACATGCTTTAAATCTGTCAAAAGGCACAGCAGAACGAATGGCTGAAACTAGTGCTAGTCGTGTCGAAATTGCAGCAAGACTAGAAACCGATTTTACCACCGAACTGACAGATGCTGTGGAAAAGTTTGCGAAAGCTGAATCGATGTCTCACTATGCAGAGGCGTTGCAAGCGGCTGAAGAAGCCGCACAAAATGCCCCTCCGGAGTTGATGGAACAAGCAGCAGCGGCCGAAGCTAGAAGGATTCAAACGCAGTTGTCGAAGGTTAAGGAAACTATACCTGGGGTGCGGCCGATTGAGGTTGTTGGGTATGTGGGGATTACGAAGCCCTATCATCCGAAGAAACCACACTGAATGTTAAATGTTTTTAATGAATTTGGGCAAAATGCCTTCTGCCACTTTTTTTTTCTTTTATTATTATATTAGACCAATAATATATTATTTGTATTAAGATATAGGGGTATTTATTAATCTTTAATTTAAAAATACAAGTAAAAAATAGGAGATGAATGTTTAAAATTGTTAAAAAAAAACCGGTAATACAGGGTGTTTACAGTTTTGGAGTCGAAATTTGACCTAATAATAGAGGAGTACAGAAATACTGTAACCGAGAAAAAACTCACACAATTGTTATTATCAAGAATGTTATTTAACTCCAAAATATTGGTACACGGTTTGAGGGTCACTGGAATTATTTCCTTGTTCAGATAAAATTGTATTGTTGCAACAGATAAAAAAATCGTATCCATGACAATGAAAGAGAAAAGTCACTTGATAGTTTTGACACTGTCATCATTTGATTTGGTTTTGCTTTAGTTTTTATCAAAATTCGAAGATCTTCTGTTTAATCTTTTTCAGCAAATGGTTTCCAATAGGTATGATTGGTTTTTCTTAATTTTTCTCCAAATTTATGAACATAAAATATTAAAATAATAAATTGGTTGTCGTGATTATGATTTACGGTGAAACCCAAGGTAATGATACTAATGGCCATTGTTGCAGCCGAAGCAGCAGTTCTCAAACAAATAGTGTAAAATGAATAATTTCCTTTAACAACTTGAATTTTTGTTTTATATAGCGTATTAGTTTTCTTTTACCGTGAATATCATCTCATTTAAATTTCAACCTCAAGACCGTAAACACCCTGTATAACACGTCCTAAAGCCAGCGTAAAGCGAGTACTAAATTTCAGCTGTTATTGTTTTGTATGAAATAAGAAATCATAATCTAGTTGCAACGTGCGACATGGTGTTTATTTTTGATTTTTATTTTTTACCAAATGACGACAGGATGACAGGGTAATAATGTCTTTTTTTTAAAGAATAAAAAATTAATAATTTCCAAACTGTTCCTAACACCCTATTTTTTGTTTTTGAATCCCATAGACTAATACATTGACTATCTAAAAAATCAAATTTTGATGTCTAGAATTGATAAAGTAAAAGATATTTAATTTTAAATGTTAATTGTAGCAACAATGCCTATCATTAAAATCAGCACTGTTGACACCAAGGCAACCATAGTAGTAATTTCAGCACTGATCACTTATTTGAGATTCGTCCAGAAATTGTAAAAGCCCACATAAATATCAAAATTCGAATTGTTTTATTGTAAAAATAAAGAAAAATGGATTCAGTGTGACATTAAAGTGACTATTGAGAGATATTTTCTCCATCCCCAGTGCAAATGTGCCCTTTTTGGCTATTGAAATAATGATTTTTTTAATGTTTATAGTTAAATATCTTTTTAGTCATTAATTGTAGACACTTAAAAGTAAATGTTTTTGGAAAGATCATTTAATAATTAGTCCAGTCAGTAGGGAGTTTTGCCCTACAAAAGGTGGGGTAGTAGTAATTTTTTGATATGTTAAGGTCTAGGCCTTGACAAAAAATCCAAGTTTTTGATCTTGGGGGAGCACCGCTCGAGCCGCCATCTTGGATGAAAAGTACAAAAAATAGGTTTTTCCAAAATAACTCCGCAGCGGTTGATTCTAGGGCAAAAGTGTTCAGATAAAAAAAAGAAGACAAAATTTCTCACATTTTATTTATCAACATTTTTTTTGTAAGTCTAATGTGTAACGAGTAACAGCGGCGGAAAGATGAACATTTTTCCCAGAAAAATAGCAAACCTCCCCATTTTCGACGTTGAATTTCGTAAGAACAAATTACACTTGATTTTAATGTTTTTTCCGCACCAAACTAATTATACAGCGATATCTATTTTAAATTATACTGATTTTTCTTGTTAAATATAGGGTTTTTGATGTTTTTTGATTAAAATAGGCGAATTAAAGAATGTATATTTTGCATATTTTGGCAACTTCGTGGATATTTTAGGAAATATTGCAAATCACAAATTTCTAATTAAAAATTCAGTTCAAGTTAAAAATTAGACAGTTTAAGAAAAAAGATCCGATTACAAAATATGTTAAAGAGAAAAATTGTTTAAACTTTTGAGATTACCATACTATTAATATTTTTTTTTTTAATAAAACGGTTTTTTATTTATTGTTTTATAAATGTACAAAAATATTTATTAGAAATGTTACAGTATATGTTAAAAAAATTATAAACTTTATCTGTTGTCAAAACTTTCTTCCACTGGCCAAGGGGTGGTACGTTTAAACAATTAATTAAAATAAAAAAAATCTTGGCATCGCTTCTTTACAACCTTTAAACATTCATCAATTTATTTCAAAAAAAAACGAGTAGTTTATTAAAAAAAATCTTTAATACTTGTAGGTCAAACATTTTTTAACAAAAGGTGTTTACAAAAGCAAAATTGCACAGCAACAATTCTTGTAACAAGCTCGTTGTCTAGAAAAAAAATCTGGTAGATTTCCATAAAAAAAAATTGTTAGTATGTTTATCTCGTAAATATAAACAATTAATTGATATTCAATTGTTTTTGGAATAGCAATTTTATAGACATTGTACACCTATACTTTTTTTGCCAAGAAAATTGATAGTTTCTCCAGAAAATAATAAGCGTTTCCAGACTTGTGGACCACTCTGTATATTTGGTCAATTGGTTCCGAAGTTATTATAAAAAAAAGTTGATGCATTGTGTCTCTGATCCATTACCCCTTTCCATCTGGGGGGTGCTTGGCTGGTGGTTCGGGGGTGTAAGCTCATCTCGACCAATAGAAAGAGTGTGTGTGCTTTCTGTATGCAAACGAAGCTGGGAGTCCGGCATTAGTAACAACAGTTGAGAGTACAAGATTGACCCCTTGTCCATAACGAATTTATTTACTTATTTTGTTGGTATTTTATTTTTCCGGAAAGATGATGACCCCCCTCCCTTTCGGATCATCACATGGTTAATCAAAAAGGGGATGTTGTCGAATTTATTATTTATTATTTATAATTAAATAATATTGACCAACTAGAGTGGACCAAAATTTTTATTGTCGACCCAGTAGATATTGTCCCGGGCCGCCATTGCTTTCATGTTTTGCACTATACCTATTAAATGTTTCAGGAAGATGATTTAAAAACAGGAGTTGTTGTCCGGTCAAAATAGATATTTCAAATAACTAAAATTCCGTCAGAGCTAAATTTTGGTGGAGATCTTGGAATAAAGTGTCAAAAGTCCCCATCGATCTCATGTGTGCTAAAAAAGTTATTCGGGGTCAAAAGTCAAAATTTGACGTTTTTTAGATTTTATTCGAAAACGATAAGTTTTATCAAAAAAGTAGCCCAGCCAAAAATTATAGATTTTAAAATTATCTACAAAAATGGTCCTTATACTTTTTTTCTAAGAATCATCATTCCTGAGATATCGCGATTCTAAAAGTTGAAGGAGTCACATTCTACATGATATGCACATACAGAGTGCGCCAGAACTCGCGTCCCAAAGAAAAATGCTATGTAGGGTATCTTATCTTACTTGAAATTTTTCTTCTACTTCATTAAACTTATAAATATCTCGATTCCATTAGAATTAAAAAGAATTTATTTGGTAATACATATAGGGTGTTGAAAAAATCGCGCATTTCCTTGAAAGGGAGTACTTGGGTAGTCTCCAGAGTACTGAAAAAATGTTTAAAAAATTCTATCTGTCAAAAAATTTTGTTATTTATTTTTTGACATTTGACATTTTTTTATGACTATTTAATAATACTGATGACCTTCGAAATGTTTTTTTATAATTGTTTAATAAAGGCACAAAAATTTTGTCAATAAAAGCCACAAATAACATTAAACAGAGTTACAGTTTAGGATACAGCTTCCTTGTTTCCACTTCTAATAGCCTGTAGCAAAAAAACGTGGAAAATTATTTATCCTACAGAAATAAATAAGAGTCAAAGTGCAAAATGTAAACTCCCATAACTTTGAAATTTTTATAGATAGAATTTTTTTACCTTACCCTACCTTACCTGTCTTTGGGGTGCGAGTTCTGGCGCACTCTGTATGTGCATATGATGTAGAACGTAACTCCTTCAACTTTTAGAATCGCGATATCTCAGGAATGGTGATTCTTAGAAAAAAAGTATAAAGACCATTTTTGTAGATAATTTTAAGATCTATAGGTAATTTTTGTCTTGGCTACTTTTTTGATAAAACTTACAGTTTTCTAAAAAAATTAATAAACCTCAAATTTTGACCTTTGACCCCGAATAACTTTTTTAACACACATGGGATCGATGGGGACTTTTGACACTTTATTTCTAATGGTGTACCCGAGGTCTCCACCAAAATTTTGCTCTGTCGGAATTTTCGTCATTGGACCACTATTTTTATGACTAATTTGACCGGACTATATGCAATGCAGTAATATTAAAGTCACTTTGTACAATTTACGATACATTATCATAGCTAATTATTAGGATGTAATCAGTACGCAAAGTAAATCGTAGACGAGGCGACGAGAAAGACGAGTCTTTAATGAGTTGAGTTCCCTTATTAAACTATTTGCGTACATGTTGTATACCAGATTTTTTTCACCAGTTCCTTAAGCAGTCTAAACCACCAAATTAATTAATTTACTTTTTTAAATTTGTACAGAACATTTATGAACATCATAGTTAGTTTTGAGATACTTGGAGCAATAGTTTTTTAATCAAAGACCAAGTCCGCTACAACTGCTATGAAAACATTTTAGCAGATTAATCCCCTAAAAAGGAGAGATCCATTTTACGGCATGTTTTGAGTTCAAAATCGAATGCAAAGATTTAAAAAAACAGTCAATATTATACACATTTATTCACATCTAAATTCAAGAAATTATTTTCAATTTTTGTAACGTAAACCTGAATATGTGATAGGGCATTTAACTGAGTACTTGGTTTTCGTTTATTTTTTGTATGCGTATAAATTGTCGTTGCTAATAACTAATAAGTAATAAAAATAGTATCTATAAAGCAGTACGGGCTACTATAGTTCAGTTAGATGATTAAATTTATAATTATTTAGCAGTGTTTACAAATTTATTGATTATAATTCATACATGAAACAGTATAACATCAACTACTGATTTACTGCTTCAAATATTGCGATCCATCCTGAACCATCATTCTTTGGCGAAGACTGATACGTAATCGAAATACGTGAATTGGAATACAATACAGCCGGATCGTCCTACAAGGTGGAATATGAACACTATAAAATATCAAAATGTTGTCACTTACATTTTTACAGTATTTGTGATCATTTGAAGTTTCCTTTTCGTAAGTAGTCACTTTAACATACGTTTCTGAACAGTCACCTTGTATATCAAAAACTGAAACAACAGTAAAATATTTGTTACCAATCTAMGACCTTGTYARATTTTTTGCACAAATGGGGCACGTAGTACYRAATGCATTGTTTATTAGTAAAAAGAYCGAATATTTTAGGTGSCAAAAAGACCAATTGTGCAAAAAACRTCTACGTCTCGATTAATTATTTTTACCGGTAAACTTGAGGGCAACTCTTCTGCCAATAGGTGTCCTCACATCCCAAACACAAGGAGTGCTATTTTTGTAAGCCATGGGATGAAGTGGACTACTAAATGTTCCTTTGTAGTTATACATAAGACCACCACATCCTCTTCCTTTGTTCGACGCAGTATACACAAGGTTGTAATATATTGGATAACGGTTTCTATTATTCCAGGAATGTATCCATAATTTATTTGTCGTGGAAAAAACGGGATTTGGGATATAATAACCACAAGCTTTTTGGAATAAAATTCCCTTAGAATTTTCATCTCGTATTTCAATACCAGCATTTTGACATCCCTCGCTATGATATACGGTAATTTGTTGGAAATAAAGCGAAATTGTGTAGTTTTTGGGTACTGTTATAGTTTGGAAACAATCGAAAGTTTTCGCATCATTTAAGGCTATACGTCCTTGCAAAGACGTGAAATTTTGGTTGCATCCTAAAAAGTTCCGTTTGAAAAACAAAGTAAAATTAACTGTTTATATTACCAGTTTTTTGATATTCAAGTTTGAAACCTTTACCACGATCCTTGTCTAGATTTCCTGATTTAAATTTAATCTTTAATTGGTAAAACTGAGAATAGTAATCAAATGGTTTTTCAGATTTGCCACAAAACTGATGGCTACCAGTCAGAAATTCGTATCTCTACAAAAATGTAAACAATAATTGAAGGTAATTAGTTATTTACATAATGATGGCAAGAAATCTATTTTTTTGCACAAGTACCGTTTGAAGCATAAACGAGCGAAGCGAGAGTGTTGCATATGCGCGCAAAAACCTCCCCGCTTGAGTATTTATTTAGATACAATTTTTACTTACAAAAAATTATTAATTTGCTTTTGTTAATTAGGTAGTTAATTAGTATGAATAAAATGTAAATTTCATCTTTATCTACACACTTCTTACTTTATGTTTCATAAGATTGATTGTGAGTTTATTATAATTTCATCTTGCTATACAGGGTGTTAGAAAAAGATTGTAAAATATTTAAGGAGGTAATAGTATGGACCAAAATAAACAAAATAGTCAAAATTCAATCATGACACATCCATGTATGTATCCAATTGTTTAAAACCTCTTGAAATAATGTGTTTTTAAACTTTTTAGTAGATCTTTAGGCCAAATTAAAGGCATTTCATCTTACCAAAAAATCAGTTGTTAACTTTCTGTCACCGTAAACTGTGAATGAAGGACCCGGATCGTTAGTTGAGTACAGAGAACCCTTTAAAAATAACATATACTATATGATTTATACTAATGAGTCTCATTAATTACCAAATTATCAACAATCTCCAGTTTGTCTTCACTACAAACATTATTCACAACATACTGGTTATTTTCTTCATTCATATCAAAATCAATAAATCGAATAACAAATCGTGAATATCCCTTGAGAATCCATGTACAGCTCAAGTCACTGGGATATTTGTGTGGATATCCAGGCGAAACCAAAGTTTTAATTTCTTCTGTTACATTTAAATAAAATGGACCACAAATTGCTACAGATAGAAATATTTTAACACAAATTTATTAAACTCTTACTTACAAGCGACTGGTGTTAAAGTTACTTTAAAAGCTTTCGAATTAGCTCCTCTTGTTCGAAGTCGTAGTCCCACAACATTTCCAGACACTGTAATTTCTCTTGAGTAATGTGTATCTGTGATTCCACAAAACGTCTCAATTAATTCCCCAACACCAGAGTGTCCATCTCTTACCTATATAAATTGAAAAAATGCCATATTATTACGATTTCAAACAGTTTAGTGATTAAAAATTTTACTTTTTAAAAGTTTTGAGACTAATCTGTACAATATATTTAAAATCTAGATTTTAACTTTAATAAAATTACATAACGCGCAATCAATTATGCTATTGAGTTGTTGTACAGTTTCTAATAAGTTTTGGAAAATTATTCCTGCAAACTCACTATATTGTAGTAATCTCTAATATCTAGTAACTTAACGAAGATGTAATAATAATAAATGTCGCTGATGTTTGTTTAGAAATAAAGCAAAGCGAAGATTATAAGAATCTAAAGCCAGGTTTCTGGAAACTTATTTAACAGAGAGATAAATTGCAACCTCGGTTAAACCATGGCAACACCAATCAGATCAGCGCTACCTTACCAACAATCGAACAGTTAATTTTTAACTTAGCTTTAATCGTACCAAAAATTGGGCCTAAAAGATAAAAATTTCAAATAATTGAATTTAAAMATTGTCTTTAAAAAAGATTGAGTTGATCGCGTTTGAATAATATGTTCAAATGTCATAGTTACACAAACGCTGTTAAATTGACATATTAATTCATAAAATTGACATATAAATATCTAAAATAGTATATTACATAACGAGCACGGAAAGTGGCAAATAACGCACAAGTGCGTTAGACACTTTCCAGCGAGTTATGTACACAATTTTGCCCACGGCCTAGCAACCCCATGACAAAAAAAACATCATTATTTTCAATGAAACGATTTTTTTTATAAATTATAAAAAAGGAAGATGCACCGTGCAACCAGTGGGCATCAATACCTTCGGTGGTCTCCCAAGTAAAATTGCAAATTTTTTGGAACTCCCAAGTGCAAAAGAATATACTGGACTTTGCTTTAGAAGAACTTCAGCGTCTTTATTAGCCAACGCAGGAGTTGATATGTCGGTTATAAAAAGACWTGGAGCCTGGAAATCCTYAGATGTAGCTGAAGGATACGTAGATGATTCTTTAGAGAATACAAAGAAGATCTGCAAGTTGCTAGTAGGTGGAGAAGATCAGGAAAACACTCAAATTGAAAAAAAAATAAAATTTAATGAAACTGTTACTGCTTTCTCGTCTTCGAGAGGTTCGAATGTTCACATATCTGACGAATTGCGTGTAACTTCTGGTATTTGTTTTTCGAATTTAACCAATTGTAATTTTTGTTTTAATTCTAAATAAAATTGTTATACATATAAAAATCGTTGCAAAATGAAAGTCCATATTAGCACTAGTGTGCAAAAGTAGCTCATTTTAGCACTCCAAATGATGACAAAATGTCGTGATATTGATTCAAAATTATAAAAAACATTTTTACACCCGTGATAAAAAAGTGCAAAATTCTAGTTTTTTTCTACTATTGAAAAAAAAAAATATTGATTGTGTTAAAGTTACTTACCTCAAGAGCTGCACAACTGCAATTGGTGATCGTGTGATTAGTCAAACCGCATCTTGACGGTAAATTTAATTCATCAAAATGAATTCTTACAGTTGAGTCAATTTTCGATTGAATAGTCCAAAGRCAGTCCATGTCGGCTAAATTGGGTGCTTGTAAAGTCATCGTCTTGTTTAATACAATTTTTCCTCCACACCCTAAAGCAGGCCCTACAAAAATTCAATTAATTTAAGAAGCTTACTGATTATTATCTTCTACCATCAACAAAATAAAT